TGAAACAATTGGCTGCTTAAGCCAAAGGGCAAATAATAATAATACCCCACCACCATCTCCCCAAAGGAGACTCAGAGCGGCTTACATGAGGCCAAGTCCAACAATACATTACAGCAACATAAAGTATAAACAACAAAATACCATCACAATAAAATAAATAAACCAATCAAGTAAAATAAACAGTACAAAATAACATAATGGAAAATAAAACACAGTGAGCGGGCCAAGAGCTTCCATCCCACTCCAAGGCAGAGCGTTCCACTGTTGAACAGCTCCTACCGTCTGGAGTTTTTCCTAATGTTCAGATGGAATATCCTTTCCTGTAATTTGAACCCATTTCTCCTACTCCTGGTTTAAAGGGCAGCAGAAGTCTGCTCCCTCTTCCTTATAATAGTGGTTCACGTAGACACATGTTGAACAAATGTGTTGACAAGGCCTGCAAAACCACATTAACTATCCCTTATCCTATTTCTGCAAAAATCTCAGCACTAGCTCACTTGATGTTGCTGCCTCCTCTTTTTCTTCTTTCTTCCATCCCACCTTCTTAGTTTGAGACTCAAAATGTGTTACAACACACAGGATGTCAAACATACTTCAATATGAGTGAATTAATAAAAGGTATTTTATTCCCTGAAATTTGTTCACTCATCATTGTGAATAACAATGGTTTTGGTGCATCCTATTTTTGCTCCTCAAAATTGTTAGCTTTACAGTGCTGACTTTGCAGCTATTGATTTGGTTTTCTTCAATCTGCCTGTGTGGTTGGTAGTGATTTTAGGAAGACAAGTCTTGTCCTTGGCAATTGGTCATATTGGGGGTGCCTTTCCCTCCTTAAGGAAATGGGTTATAATTGAGAGACTGTAGTGACTACTGAGAAACATACTCATAGAGCCATGTTGGCTTGTAAGGTTTTATAAAAAAATGTCTTTCCCCTTAAGATGTCCTTTTGATCTCCAATCTCTGACTTCCCCTCCCACAGTTAACTTGCTTTAATCTAACTCTAGTTTATGGCTTGACGTCTCCTTTCAAAGAGCCAGAGGCATCACAAGAAATGGAGACAATGTGTTTGTTTCAGCTTGTCCCCCACTCCTCCCCACAAAAATCATGGAACATGCTATCTTTTGTTCTCATGTGGCTTCTTTGATGAAGCTTGTCTGAGACAAAACAGATTGCTGATAAGGTTTGGGAGATAACAACACTTTGTAACCTGGAGGCACCTTTGATGTAGCCAAAGATGTGATGTAGCCTAACAGGCATTTGTATCATTATAGGGAGTATTTGTATGCTAAGTAGCTACAGTGGCATGTGGAAAGATGTATGAAATGATTGACAGATATTTGTGTATACTATGACTGAGATAATGGGATGTGAAGTTCCGGTTTGGAATAGTTTTTGAGGCGAATAGGGACTTCATTCTAGAGAGGTGAGTTTAGAAAAGAAAGAATCATAGAATCATTTGGTTAGAAAAGATTACAAGGGCTATCTAGTCCAACTCCCTTAGATTAGGAATCAAAGCACTTCCATTAGATGGAAATCTAGCCTCTTAAAAAAGAAACCCTCTAAAGAAAGAGATTCTGCTACACTCCAAGTCAATGTGTTCTGCGGTCAAACAGCTCTTGCCATCAAGAAATTCTTCAATATGACTTCTTTTCAAATATTGAAAATGACTGTCATATCCCCTCTCAACCTTCGCTTCTCCAAGCTAAACATGCCCAACACCCTTAGGCTCCATCTACACTGCCATAAATCCAGGGTGCTTACGGACAGCTCTAAAACACAGGACAGGGAACTGAGCTTAAAAAACACGATAGCTGAGAGGAAGTCCAGACCGGGATAGCTGAATCTCAGTCCATCATCCCCCGCCTTCCTCACAGCTGATTTTTGATCCGTATTAAGATAGAGGGTAGACAGGGAAATCCAGTGAAAGTTTTTTTAATTGCTTTGGAAATGCACATGTGTGATCCAGCACATAATGGAGCGAATTGTTTTTTGAAAAACTTGCCTTGCATCTTTTTTATAGTTGAATATTTTGGTTCAGTGGACTCTAGAAATACTTGCTGGAGTGAGATCTAATTATAAATCAACCTGAGATTTTTAGGAAAAAAACTTATTTCCTTTGATAAACTACACCTGCAGTTTGTTCACTACCATAAGGAGCTTATGAGCAGAACTGAATATGTATTGTCGAAGGCTTTCATGGCCAGAATCACTGGGTTGTTGTAGGTTTTTCCGGGCTATATGGCCATGTTCTGGAGGCAATTTTTCTCCTGACGTTTCGCCTGCATCTATGGCAAGCATCCTCAGAGGTAGTGAGGTCTGTTGGAAGTAGGAAAAATGGGTTTATATATCTGTGGAATGACCAGGGTGAGACAAAGGACTTTTGTCTGCTGGGGCTAGGTGAGAAGAGAGAGAGGAAACAAACAGGCACATAAAATCACTCTCAACAAAAGATTCCCCTCAGGCACTTCTAAGCCATTGAATGCTAATCAGGGTGATCAGCTGAAACATTCACTACCTCTGAGGATGCTTGCCATAGATACAGGCGAAACGTCAGGAGAAAAATTGCCTCCAGAACATGGCCATATAGCCCAGAAAAACCTACAACAACCCAGAACTGAATAGTTTATGGTACCTCAATATACCTTAAAGAGCTTATAGACTTCACAGCCCAGTTCTACATGCTAGAAAAAGACTCTTAAAAATAAAACAATCTTTTTTTAAAAAAACCCTGCTGACTGTAATTCTAGAAGGGTATAGGTAGTGCTGTGATGAAAAAAGGAGTTTTTTCTCAATATATGCTGAGGGGTGCTATCTTCATGTTGCACTCCTTTTTCTAACTGGGGCCCTGCCATGTCAGTATGATCAGCCACTATTATTTTGATCTTTTAACTACAGAGAGATAGCCCACATAGGCTCACAGTATTTTACAACTTGTATTGTTCTGAAACCATAAAAACATATTGCTATTCTTGAATATAACCTTTTCCTAAGGCCTGGTGAGCATTAAACCATGAGGACCATATGAGTGCTCACTGTAAAGCCTAGTAGATAGGAAAATACAGTTTACTGATGTATTTGGAGAAGTGTGAGGGTTTCTTGGTTCCTTATAATTCGATGCATTTTTGAAGTGGCTTCCTCTTCTTTGTGTATTTTTCCACAGAGAAGATTGTTTTCTCGCCCCTTTGGCAATATGTCAAGGTCGGAAGAAGCTCTCTAGCATGCACTCCTAGAAGCTTCATGCAGCTTTTATGGGAAGACGGCCTTGAATATGTCACCTACAATTCACTTTTTTCCCTTTTGAAGCAACTACTTCTTTTCTTTTAAGGTTCGCTTATTTTCTAGGACTGTCTTTTCATATTCATATCAGCAGAGGTGATGGTGGTGGGCAAGATGAAGCAAGGAGAGAATCGACAACTGAAACAAGACAGCCACTTTCTAGAGCTAACAGAGCTGAAGGATGCCGAATTCCTGGAAGCAAAGTGTTTCTAGTACCAAAGGCTTCTAGAGATATTTAACCTCTTTGTTCTTTAGAAGGAAGATGTAAGATGCTGTGCATTTAAAAATACTACCTGAGATACCATTTTGTTTGGGCACGGTGTCATAAGTAGTACTGGTACTTCTTTTGAGAATGTGTGTTTCTCTTTTTGTGTATACAAATACATTGGTCTTGAACAATTTTTGGGCTGATCCAGTCTGTTGCTGGGAAATGTGTCATGGGAACGAACACATGGGATATTTTTGTCATTTCTGAAGGGAAAGTTTGTACCTTAGTACAGAGAATATGTTTCTCATGCAAAACATCCCGGGCTCAACACATGACATCTCTGAGAAGAATGGAAAATATTTCTATTGGATGCCCAGAGAAAGTTCTATTTTATTTATTTACATCATTTCTACCCAGCCTTTCTCACCCCAGAGGGGACTCAAGGTGGCTTTACATACAGGCAATGATTTGACGGCTTAAAACACAATGTACACTTAAATAAATATTAAAATAGAATTAAAAGGTACATTAAAAACAATTAAAACATTTAAAAACAATACATTCAGAGTTATCCATGGGTATAATCTGGGTCATTGCACATTGTTCCGTGTCTATCTATTGCACGAGTTGATCATAAAACCAAGTTTTCACTCTCTTGTGGAAGGTCAGGAGGGAGGGGGTTGATCTAATATCTCTGAGGAGGGAGTTCCATATCTGAGAGGCCACCATTGAGAAGGCCCTGTCTTTCGTCTCCGCCAATTTTGCCTGTGAGGGAGGCAGGACCGAAAGCAGGGCCTCCCCAGATATCTTAAACTCTGTGGTGGGTCATAGAGGGAGATATCTTTGGACAGATAAGCTGGGCCAGAATTGTTTAGGGCTTTATAGACTAAAGCCACCATTTTGAATTTGCTCGGTAGCAGACTGGCAGCCAGTGGAGCTGACGTAACAAAGGGATAGTATGTTCCCAGTACGCCACTCTGGTGAGCAATCTGGCTGCCACCCGTTGGACCATTTACAGTTTCCGAACAGTCTTCAAAGGTAATACCACATAGACTAGGATGACAGGTGGTCAACTCATGAGGCATATGAAACTTTTAAACCTCTTTTTTGTGACTTTCATCCATAAAGCTTAGTTATTGGCAATAAAAGCAAGGTACGCTGGTATTTTGTGATCCTAGTTTTTGGATTACCTCTGTCCTGAAATGCCACCCCTAACAGTGCCTGAAACTAAATTTGAGGACTGAGAGAAGTTCCCCAAGATTGCTTCAAGGGAAGGGGTGTTAGACAAATTATTAGGTTTGGTCCTCAAGTATTTCCAAGTAGCACTGTGAAAAATCTCTGTTTTGGAGAGCCATTGCCAATCAGTGCCAACAATGCATAGATCATACAGAGTAAGAGGCAATTTATGGCAGGAGTTTACATTTTTGGGGAAAAATGAAATTGTGTGTGTGTGTGAGAGAGATTCAGTTTTTTACTTGGGTTTAAACATCTATTTGTTGTTTTTAATAACTCCCAGGTAAAAGTGATGGTGAGAATCTGTCCATCAGAAGGAACACATGACACGTCGGAATCCATGTCCTTTTTGAAAGTAGATCCACGAAAAAAGCAGATTACTCTTTACGACCCATCTACGAATGGTCCTTCCAATGCAGGTCACCGAAGAGGAGCTGTGGCGGTCCCAAAGATGTTTGCCTTTGATGCGGTATTCCCCCAGGATGCGTCTCAGGTACCACAGCCAAGTATATAATGCTAATAGTTTGGGCTGCTGCCATGGCATTTTAGATCCAGCAAGAGAATTCTTGCAGCTTTTAGAGGGATTTTTCCCCCTCTCTCCTTTGAATTAGTTGGTTTAATTACTGGGAAGGCATGCTAATTAATAGACAGTTCGCAAGGTCTCACGCTGTTTTAATTTAGCCCAGATGTGAAATTAAGAAGCAATATCTGCCGAGATAATTCTACTCAGTGATGCATTCACCCTGTACTTCTGCATGCTATTTAAAGCAACAGATACACACACATAATTGTGACTCACCTTTCAAAATGATGTGCTCCTCTTAATTCTCAATTTTGCTAGAGTATTTATAGGCATCGGATTATCTTTGAGAACATCTAGTGCCAAGCTGAATAAGGACAGAATAGAATTGTGGTATTTATTCCAAAAATACAGTCGTTTCTTACTAGGAAGATCAGTAATGGTAGACTAGTCTTCTCGAAAAGCAGTTGCTTACCATTAAAGTAAAGCAGGTACTTTCAACTCACATGTCAGTTTATGACAACCTTATGAATTTCATAGAGTTGGGATGTTAGGATGGTTCCTTCTTTGTTTTCCTCTTGATGGCAGGTTAAGATCTTTCTTTTCCAGGAAGCTTTTGGAAACTGATGTAAACAGAAATGGTTTTGATGGCTCTCTACTGATTTGAATCTGTTTTAAAGTAAAATTGATTTTACATCTGTTGCTAATTAACCCTGTTTCGATCTTGATTTTGTGTTTTTTAAAAATATTTTTGTTATTTTGTCCTTTATTAGCTGCCTTGAGATACCCACCAAGTTACAAGTTTCTGCTTTACTTACTTCTTTATTCATGTTAATTTATAATTAGCATTTCCTACAGTGAGTCTATGGAGATATTATGGGTTCTTCTTTCCCGCAGTTTATCCTCATAGCAACCCTATCCTTTTATTATGACATATTTTGGGTTACTATGGGTTGCAACTGTGGCCGCTATGGGTGCTGATTTTTATTGGGAGCCTGTATATGCTGACCCAGTACAACTAGAAGCAATGTCATGTCCTTCCAGATTGATTTTGAGCTGATGTTCAGCATGGGGTTTTTTTTGTGGGGAGGGATGGGGGATTGCAGTCTTATACTATTTCAGAGTCTTGGGGACACTAACTCAAACTGCCATGGGTTTTTTTTTTGGTTTAGGAGAAAAACAAGGCATAAAAGTAAAATAATAATAACAACAGCAACAATAACAACAATAATTTATTTATCTTTCACTTTATCTCCCTGAGGGGACTCAGAGCAGATTACAATATACACAGGTAGGCAAACATTCAATGCCTTTATTACAGTGGAATAACAATGACATACAAATACACAGAACAAAGGTAAAGACTTCCCCTTTCATCTCCAACTTTTATTTCATTTACTTATACCCTGCCCTTCTCACCCCGGGGGGGACTCAGGGCGGCTTACAGTGGGGGCACAATTAGATGCCCAAAACAATTCACAAGCAATACAAATACAAACAATTCAACAATTAATTAAAAACATCAGTACATAATAAAATAATAAAACAGTCTCATGCTCAGGGTTCAGAGTCCATATATCCATTCCATTCCATTTGTCCTTGTCTATCATCAGATCCTTCAGTTAGCTGTCAGAATGACCAAAGGCTTGATCCCAGATCCAGGTCTTCAGTTTTTTCCTAAACGCCAAAAGGGAAGATGACGATCTAATCTCCCCGGGGAGTGAGTTCCACAGGTGGGGGGCCACCACTGAGAAGGCCCTGCTCCTCGTCCCCGCCAGCCTCACTTGTGACAGTGGTGGGGTCGAGAGCAGGGCCTCCCCAGAAGATCTTAAGCTTCGAGATGGGACGTAGAGGGAGATCCGTTCGGACAAATACACTGGGCCGGAACCATATAGGTTTTCTGGAGGTGTTTCTCAACTCTGGCAATGGGGAGGTGCTCTTGTTCCATTTCCAAGCCAAGGAGCCTCCTGGTTGTGTTTTGCCGACATGGCTGCATTGGTGCCTTTGTTACCTTCCCACCAAAGCAGTACCTATTGATCTACTCTCATTTGCATATTTTCGAACTGCTAGGCTGTCATGAGCTAAAGTGACAGCAGGAGCTCACCATGACCTGCAGTTTCAAACAATTCAACCATTTAACCTGTTGTACCATTGCAGCTTAGGAGATTTGAAGGGCCTCAGCGTGGGACCCCATAGACTTTTCAGAACCTGGAACTCAGGGAAGAATTCAGAATATGGGCAAAGAGAGAGTGTAGAAGATCAAATAGGGAGAGAGATGTGCAGAGGCCAAAGCATCAGTTCTAGATTGCAAGTCAGATGTCGTAAACCAAAATCTTGCTTTCCTCTGACAAAAAACTAGCTTTGCAACTGTGTATAGAAAAGGCTCTTTTTAGTGATATTAGAGAGCAGAAAAAACCATGAGAAGTCTGAATTAATTTTGAATTTGAGATCTAAACACTGCCAACAAACAAACAATTAAATGTTGGCCTTCTAATTTCAGTTAATCATAGAGCTGGGCCCAAAGCTCATTTGAAATCCAAATCTGACTTTAAAATGTTAAGTGTCAGATCAGCTTGTGTATATGACTGGCTTTATATCAGAATATCTCCCAAATATTAATTTTCTTGGCATTAAAAAAAGATTAAGAATAGATAATATCCCAAACGTGGGTCTAATTTTCCAGTAATTTCCCCATGTATATGCTTACTCATTTATTGTGCCTGCTGTGATTATAATTGAGCAAGCATTTTGCTGTTGTTCTTGCATGCTCCCATATCATCTGCAACTACAGCAGTTGACCAGTATTTCAGTAGAGTCAAGGTCTAAAATATCCAAGCATGGGCCCATTCACATCTGGCACTCTCAGCAGACCACCTTTTCTCTTGTGAGAAGAGCTGCAATTCTCACAGGAGCAGAAGAATAATGGATTTTCTCAGAAACAGTATGTTGTATTATTTCTTTTCTGTAACTAACCAGGATTGGAATATTGTCAATGATATAAGCACACAAGGTGTGGACTTCATGCATAGTGTGTTTCTTTTTTCAACCATGTTTCTGTCCCAATCCCTTTATCACCTTCTGTCTGCCCAGACTTCCAACTTCTAATCAAAGTGAAATCCAGGCAGGCAGAGTTAAAATTGGTACTCCACTTAAGCATTCTTAAGTTTTGGAATCTTAGGATATTTAAATAGGACAATGAGAAGGTTGTTTTAGACTGTTGTATGCACAAATATATTTTATGGAAAAATACAGGCATGACTTCCATTATGTTGTATTGCATGCATTTATTACATTGCATCAGGTGGGAAATCAAATGTAACCTTTTCATAACAACGGATCCTTTCTCTCTTTTACACAGAGAAACTGTGACATCTTAAACAATATATCTTTCCCATTTATTCATTACAAAATAATATTTCTTCTGTTGAAGAATTATACATCTTGAAAGAGGCATCCAAGGAGTTAATATCCTTGATGTTTTAAGTGGGAATGCGAAGAACACTCATTAATATTCACATCCTTGAGAAAAACATGATATTCAAGATACTCTGCTTAGGAGAATGAGACAAATTGCAAGAGTCATTTACAGTTCAGGACTTTATTTGGGAAAAAAATCATTTGCCCCAAAATTGACATGATGTTGTTGCACAGAAAGCAACCTTGTAGACAGAAAGCATATTTTGGATAGAAAATATATTGATTGCAGCGAAAAGGTGTTATTTTTCTGAATATATAAATACTAGAGCTATGCGATCAATGGAAAAAGTTTCAAAACTCATTAAAAAATTAGAGGGGACCAGCGTTTTGTTTCTAAAGTATAGTTAGTGAACATTTAGATACTATAACAAGTGTAACGGAATTTGGTCACTTTTTCGTTGTAGTAATTGCACAAGTGGGGAAATTTCAAGGGCTAATTTCTCGATCGTTTTTACAACTATTGGGGTGAAACTTGCTACAATGGTTTAACACATTTACTACTGTTAGCCCATCAAGTTTCAGCATGTTTCACTTATCCACAGATTTTTGGGGAAACTTCCAAGTTTTCATAAACAACATTAAAAAAACCACAAGAGCTTTCTCCTTGAATTTTCTATGCAATGACACAAGATAACAGAGGATCATTCCTCCCAACTTTTAGAAATATTCATACATCTACTGATTTTAGGGATTTTTAAAAAATTGACGAAAAGTTTTTTTTAAGCCACAACAGCTCTCTCATTGGATGTCTCTCATATTACTCAAGAGAATTTCCGTTTAGGGATTTCTTCCCAGCCCAGCACATAGATTTACTTACTAGAAGTATGAGTCTTTGCAGATTCAACAATTTATTGGAACTTGCTTCTGCTACGGAGGGACAAATCTCTTCCCTACCTTGATTGGGGCTTTGTGATGCTGAGCAGAATTCTGGGAAATGTAGTTTAGAGCAGGTCTTTTGAATTCTCTGGCATAGGGATCCTCACCTTCCAAAACTCTGTTTTGCAGAATTCTGTGCTTTCTCAGTCTTTTTCTCCCCACTACTTCCCTCTCCTAATGGTGAGAAGCCATTAATTTAAAGAGGAATGGCAGCCTTTTTGGCTTTGCTTTGCTTGCTTGCGCTGAAAATGAAACTGACTTTGAGAGGTTTCTGGGATTTACAAAATTTACAAAAGTATTGGGTAAGTTTTGCTTCTTACGTTTTTGACCCGGGCCATGCCCATGTGTCAGATATTGCATAGTAACTACGAATTTAACAAATTTGATTTGACTTATAAGGACTAGCAGTAATTTTGCACAGCCCTAATAAATACATTGATTCTTGCTCAGAAAAAAAAAAACATGCCTAGTTTTCCTGTATATGTTTTCTGTGGAAGAATCCAAGTGATTTATGCAGCACACATTTTTGGTCCCAAAACATATTTCCCAAAATATTTGTTCTCTCCCCCATCCCTGTGAACTTTTTCCAACAAAGTTCTGAAGTGTGAATGTAATTTGAAAATTTCACAGAAACTCTTATATTCTTAGAGAATGAGGAAGAAAATTGCTTAAGGTTGTTGTAGGTTTTTTGGCCAGTTCTAGAAGCATTCTTTGCTGACGTTTTGCCTGCATCTATGGCAGGTATCCTCAGAGGTTGTGAGGTTCTAGAACATGGCCATATAGCCCAACAAACCTACAACAACCTAATGATTCTGGCCATGAAAGTGTTCGATAATAAAATTGCTTGAGTTATTCATTCTTGCATATGGGAATACAATAAAACAAAGTATACATCTCTGTGTCTAACTGTGCTTAAGAAACTAGGTACTTTTACTTCTTTAAGGCCAAACACAATTGCACCAGAAAATACTGCTGTTCTAATGGTACTCTGACCATTTAAGGAAAACATAACAGCTAGTTAGAAATGAAGAACCCACAAAAAGCAGTGAAAAAAGTAACTATAAACAACTTGCACATTTTCCCCTATGATTTAGTCTTGTTTGAACTGGGGAAATATGTATTTTCCCAGTGGGGAAATGCACATTCAATCCATATTTGGGGAAACACACAAACAGTTGAAACATAAAAGCGCAGGGAGAGAATGCCGAAGTGATTGAGCTAAGGCAAATTGTCCAAAGTGCTCCTCTTTCTCTGTCAAAGGATGTGGTTCTTATAGCTAACGTCTTTCAAAAAGCTTTTATTCAGAAATTTTGAATTCATCCCCCTCCCTAAACCAATGTCTAGGGAAACTCCTTTGCCGCTATTACTGAGAGGCATGCCTGAGATATTATATTAGTCCTACGCTTCGACAGATAGCATTTCTCTGTTACCAAGGTCATAAAATTGATACTCCATGGGAGCTGGGATAATGGGATAGGAAACTATTGCAGGCTTATATAGTCCATTTTCTTCCCCTTTTATTACAGGGAAGAAAATGGAATATAGATACTAGAATAATATGACTAATGCTGTGAAATGTGCAAAAACATTATGTTCAGAACCATTCTTTTTCATGCCAAAGGCATGGCAGTGTTCATGCTGATAGATGCCCTGTAACCCCTTTCTCAAATTCTCTTCTAGGCTGAGGTGTGCTCTGGAACGGTAGCAGAAGTAATCCAGTCTGTCGTGAACGGTGCAGATGGTTGCATCTTTTGCTTTGGCCATGTCAAGCTTGGTGAGCTCCCAAATTCATTACGGTTAATTACTATGTCAGCCTGGTAATTACATGCTGTCAGCTCCTGGAACAATAAACCTGGAGTATATGAATAGATTAGAATTTCTTTTTAATTAGCTTTGCAAACTTCTCCTGCTTTATTTCTACAATGGGACCTTAAGGTGTGCGTGCCTATGTAATGTATGCTTTTCTTAAAAAAACCATTTGAAGAAAGAAGGTAAAAAGCAGCTCTGGGTGTACATTAGTGCCTTCAGAAGCTGGCTTTTGTAGCGACAGGTGTGACAAAATTCAAAAGATCCAAAAGGCCTTGAGAAATTAATTGGCTTTAGGCAAAAAAAAAAAAATAGCTAGCCTGGAAAAATTAATTGAGTAAATACCTGAGGATTAATAATGAAAGATGTAAAAGCCACTTTTTACATCTGTTCTCTTCCATTCACTGCTAAAGTGTGTACTATTAACTGTAATCTAGGACCATGTTTGAACCGGGTGTCTTTTTCCAAGGCCCTGTATAATATTGTTGGTTGCCAGAAAATATTTGCCTAAGAGCCAGTGCTTATCCACTTCTTGTGGAGAGCACCGCATTCAATTTATAGGAGTAATATGGCTATTTTAATGAATAGATACTGGAAATCTGACTTCACAGACACTCTTATATTGAGAATTAAATAAAAATGCTGCAGACTCCTAGGGTCCTTCCACGCAGCCACATAACCCAGAATATCAAGGCAGAAAATCCCACAATGTCTGCTTTGAACTGGGTTATCAAAGTCCACACTACCATATATTCCAGTTCAAAGCAGATATTGTGGGTTGGCAGCCTTGATATTCTGGATTATATGGCTGTGTGGAAGGGCGCTCAGAAGGCACTCCTTAATCTACCCATCACCATTGCAGATGGCTACCTTGGGAGGTTTAGCATAGGTTCTGCTCCGTCCTTGTAGAAGTGCTCCTCAGGCAAGAAAGAGACAGTCATAATTGTTATGAAGGTTCCTAATAAGCCTATAGAAAGTTGCAAGGGCATAAAATCAACACTGGAAAATGGATGGTAAGCCCCAAACATTGTAGTTTTATGGTGCATTACTCTGGGGTGTGTGGGTAGTTGTGTTCAGAGTGTTCTGGGCTGTTTTTAACTGCGAGTGTATCTACACCATAGAGTTAATGCAATGGGACACCACCTTAACTACTCAATGCTGTAGAATCCTGGGAGTTGTTATTTTGTAACAGCACTCTTTGGTGGAGGAGGCTGAAGACCTTGTTAAACTACAACCCTCTTGATTCCATAGCATTGAGCTGTGGCAGTTAAAGTGGTGTCAAACTGCATTAATTGTAACAAGGATGGGAGTCATATGGCCATCCTGATGATGTTGGACTGCAGCATCCAGTACTCCCCACCACTGACTATTCCAACTAAGGCTACTGGGAATGGCAGTTCAGTAACACTTGCACAAATGGAAGACTACTATTGTGTGTTTTAGATTTATAATGTTTTTTGTTTTGCTTTGTTTTGACTGTTTTAAATTGTTTGCACTGCTTTGATGAAATGTATTTTATATTTCGTTTCTTAATTTTTTGCTCTGCTTTGGGGAAACTTTGCCCAAATAATACCCATCCTAATAATAATAATAATAATAATAATAATAATAATAATAATAATACACCATCTTCTTGTGACAAAGAACTGGTGGGATCACAAGCCTGAAAACGTTACAGAAAATGAACACGTCAAACTACTCTGGGACTTCCGAATTCAGACTGACAGAGATTTGGAGCACAATGATCCTGACCTCATAATCGTAGAAAAAAAATAACCAAGTCTGGATCATCAATGTTGCAATCCCAGGCAAAAGAAGGATTGATGAGAAGTAACTGGAAAAGCTTACACGATATGAGGATTTAAAGATAGAATTGCAGACTCTGGCACAAGCCAGTAAAGGTGATCCCAGTAGCGATTGGCACACTGGGTGCAGTGCCTAAAGACCTTGGCCTGCACTTAAAAATAATCGACACTGACAAAATTACCATCTGTCAGCTGCAAAAGGCCACCCAACTCAGATCTGCACGCATTATTCGCCGATACATCACATAGTCCTAGACACTTGGGAAGTGTCCAATGTCTGATCAAATACAACAGCCAGCATAGTGATCTTGTTTGCTGTGTATCAGTATTGTTATATATCTAATAATAATAATAATGATGATGATGATGATGATGATGATGATGATGATGATAAAGGCCACCTTACTTGAATCTTTGTGCATCATTCGAAAATACATCACACAGTTCGAGACACTTGGGAAGTGTTCAACTTGTGATTTTGTGATATGAAATCAAGCATATATATCTCATTTGCTGTGACATTCTGAGTTTGTGTCAGTAAAATAATAATAATAATAATAATAATAATAATAATAATAATAATAAACAATGTTATTTATATTCCACCCTATCTCCCTGGAGAAACTCAGGGCAGATTCCAACAAACAAAAAGGCAAACATTCAATGCCTCACTGACAACAAATACAAATATAACAACCCCAAATAGCCCCACATAAGAAAACAACTTAGAACATGAGAACTGTAAATTAAATAAAAACTTAACCTATCAAAAATTATAACTAACATAAAATGTGAACATAAAACATCCACATTAATTTACAAGAGCTGACAAAGGTTCACAGAGATATGTGCGTTGATTGTGTGGCCAGTGTTGTTAAATGGGCAAACATAGTCTGACAGAGCCCGAATACAGTAGTAGTTTTCAATCTGAGGTCTGGTAGTAGTCTCTCATCATCTAATCCTCCTTCTCTACATATGCTAATGAGCAAAAATGAGTTTCAGTTCCTTTTTGAAGGAGAGAAGGGAGGGGGCCATCTTTATTTCTTTAGGGAGGGAGTTCCGGGGGGGGGGGGGGGGGGAGGATCGAGAAGAAATACAGAAATTTGTGGGGAAAACAAGAGTAAACTGATAAAAACACACTTCCCTGTTTTGTCCTAGCAAGAAGAGATATGCTGTGTGTCATGGGAGCAAACTGGCACCCAAACTCTTTCTGTGTATTTGATGAGCCAATGCCTTTTCTCCCCCTTCCTGCCTTTCCTTCTAGGCAAATCGTATACAATGTTTGGAAGAGATAGCTCCACACAGAGCCTCGGGATTGTTCCCTGCGCTATCTCATGGCTCTTCAAGCTCATCAACGAACGCAAGGAGAAGACTGGGACACGTTTCTCAATTCGAGTGTCTGCTGTGGAGATCAGTGGCAAAGATGAAAATCTGCAGGATTTGTTAGCTGAAGTAGCCACTGGCAGCCTTCAAGACGGGCAGTCTCCAGGGGTTTATCTCCGAGAGGATCCGATATGTGGGACGCAGGTTTGGAAGACCGGCTTTCTCATTTTAATCCTGATATTTTTCTTTGTTGAAACATATTTTATCTGACAAGGATTTCAACCACTTTTTAAAAAGATAGTATTTTTAATTGCTTTTTCACTTTTAATCCCCAGTCCCAGAGTGTCCACTTTTGTTTCCATCAGCAGCCTTGAGGCTTGCTTCATTCTGAGACAAGGGGGATGGTTCACCCTGTTTAAATTAGTCATTTTTTTCTTTATATCGCAGCTTCAAAATCAAAGTGAATTAAGGGCCCCAACTGCAGAGAAAGCTGCCTTCTTCCTTGATGCCGCCTTGGCAGCCAGGAGTACTAGCAAACAAGGGTGTGATGAAGAGGATCGGAGGAATTCCCACATGTTCTTTACCCTCCATGTATATCAATACCGAATGGAGAAGAGTGGCAAAGGAGGAAGTATGTTGAATGGTCACAGTTTTGCTTTGTTCTCTTGGTGACTTTAAAATGGTTGTGAAATACAATTGGCCCTCTATATTTGTTTGTTTGAATTTATGAATTTGATTATTCATGGATTTGTTTAATATGTTTTCTCTTGGAATATTTAAGCCCTCCAGAAGTTTTGACAGGAGTTGACCATCAAGTTGTGCTGGAGGACCTAGAGATTTCTAGAGATGCTATCCTAGGTTAAAAAAATAGCAATGCCTTTGTTCACCATTTTATTGCTCTGATGATTAGCTAATGTATTTGTTTCCTATTTCAACCTATCCTTATTTAATTTCCTTGGCATTATTATTTCAGTTAGAGTTGGATCAGTAAATAACCTGTGCTGTTTTGCCGTTTCAGTGTCTGGTGGACGCAGCCGTTTACATCTCATTGACTTGGGAAGTTGTGAGAAGGTGTTAAGCAAAATCCGAGATGGAGCAGGTCCCCTTTGCCTTTCCCTGTCTGCCTTGGGCAGTGTCATTCTGGCCTTAATCAACGGTGCCAAGCATGTCCCATACAAGTAAGTGCAGTGTTGTGTTAAGTATCAATCAATCAATCACTGGCATTATAATATCCCTGATCTAATATCCCTGCCTAGGGATATTAGATCAGCCCCCTCCCTCCTGACTTTTCGGAAGAGAGTAAAAACCTGGCTCTTTGAGCAAGCATTCGGAACCCCGGAATAGATAGTCAAGCTTGAGATGGAGAATGACCCAGGAACGGCCAAGACGATGAAACGGATGAGGATTGGAATGAGAGGATATAGCTCTTTTTAAATTGTTATTGCACTGTCTTTTTGTCTTTTTTGTCTAAATGCACTTAATTGTTTTTGCTGTTGTATTGTATTGATGGCATCGAATTGTGCCAATATGTAGACCGCCCTGAGTTGCCTGCGGGCTGATATGGGCGGGATATAAGTGATGTAAATAAAATAAATAAATAAATAAATTTGTTTTTCAAGGTATTAATCTGCAGACCAGGGGTTAGGATCTTAACGACCCTTGAACACATATGGCCTTCAGAACCACCTCATGTATTTTTTTCCAAAAATAGGAAGATTTGTTTTCCTCCAGAATCTTCCAGAATATATAATTACCTTCTAAAACATATTATTTCTTTTGTTATTGCTTGGATGGGCTATTGCGATCAACTAAAAGTCAGGAATAGTGAGGAATGGCTCTTGGACCCCATGAAGTTGTCCACGTCCACCATAGGCAGTGTCAGGTGGTGTCTTGAGTGAGAGCCATTGTAGGTGGTTCTGCAGCTCAACATGCTTAATCTTTTCTGTAGAATTTGGGTTGAATTGCATTCTTTTTCCTGAAACGTCACCTCTAGGTTTCTTGCAAGCGTGAGTGTTTTTCCTTTGTGGGTTGGCTTTAAGACAGAAGTAGCATGTTTCAAAGGACTGCAGAAAGAACTGTAGATTTTTCAGAATGTCATTGGTGCCTCTGTTGTGTTTCATAGGGACAACAAACTGACAATGCTGCTGAGAGAATCGCTTGGGAACATCAACTGCAGAACAACCATGCTAGCTCACATATCAGATTCCCCAGCAAATTATGCAGAAAGTCTCATGACAATTCAGCTCGCCTCTCGTATTCACAGGATGAGGAAGAAGAAATCCAAGGTTGGCATGCAAGAGAAATGAAGCAATGTTTGATTTTACAAGAATTGTCTTCTTTCTTCCTCAAAATAAGGGGCAATAGAATCTTTTGACAGCAGCTTTGGGTTGCTATCTCTTGATACAGAGAAAAGAGTCTGTATTTATTCATTTATTTATTTATTTGCTATACTTGTATACCGCCGTTTCTCAGCCTAGCCGGCGACTCAACGCGGTTTACAACAACTTATAACAAACAACAGTATACAGTTTAAAAGCATAAAAACATAATCCACAATACATATATCAATAAACAATCCAATTCATCTCTTGACTGTAGTTTACACCTTCAAAGAAAGGAGATGATATATGGCTGCAACGTCTTTTGAGAAAATGACAGAAGCTACCTTTTGTTATCCTTGTCACCTGCCTTCAGTCAAAACCTAATGCAACCATAATCTCTTTTTAGAAGCCTTTTATACTGTGGAACCCTAATTTGACTGTCCATTACATGTGGCAATAGAATCACCGATTGGACAGTACAATCATATCAGCTGTTGAGGCTAAACAGTCCTGTGACATTGCCATCTGTGTGGGTCCCAATGCTACAGCATTGTCAGACTGGGAGCTGACAGATAATGCAGGCCTTCAGAGTTCGTGCCCACAATTCTTTCCCTGAACAAGAAGAAAAGCATAGAGAATGTGGGTCTTCTAAGAAGCTCTGACAAAGTGCAATGCACTTGCAGCATTGCAGGAGAGGGTGGAGTGTAACGATGGGAGTGAGGAGCCTGTTATGTTTAACCTCTTTTGTTTGAGTCTTCTATTAAGAACCAGTTTCATTACACTATAATTTTCTCCCAGTGACAGTAGTTAACATAGCTCAACCTTCTAAAACTGCTGAGGGAATATTGTGGCCTTCTAAATAATCAAACATTTTGCCAGAGCAGACAGAAGTGGAGTACAACAATGTCTAGATCACAGTCGGGCAACTGTTTGTGGACTTAGAAGCAATTTTCTCCCTAGACAACCCCATGAGCAGTACTACCTGCCCACAGAAACTTCAAATACTTCATTTTTTCCCTATAGCTATTCTCTAATTGGTGCTAGGAGGTGACATTGCCTGACTTCCTGTCATAATTTTGAGAGGCAGTGCAAACTAAACTAAGGTAGGGTTGTTGTAGGTGTTTTGGGTTGTATGGCCATGTTCTAGAAGCATTCTCTCCTGATGTTTCACCTGCATCTGTGGCAGGCATCCTCAGAGGTTGTGAGGTCTGTATTTGGGAAAAGCGAAGAGTCCTGGAAAGTTTGTGTGGATGGCTTGGGAGTATTATCATACATTTTTTATTTATTTGGGGATTTTCTTGCATGGTTTGAAATGGGGGGGGGGGTTTTCAGGGTTTGGGGATGGAGGGCTTAGGGAACCATAAAAGTAGGCTTCACTCTACTTTTACAAAGGCATTTTAATTATTATTTTTTTAATTTACAGTATGCATCCAGCTCATCTGGAGGAGAAAGCTCATGTGAAGAGGGCCACATTCGAAGACCTCCTCATTTGAGACCATTTCATCCGAGGACCATGGCTCTTGATCCCGATATTCCTATACTGAGCCTTTCCAGTGAGCCTGACTATTCTTCAAGCAGTGAACAGTCCTGTGACACTGTCATCTATGTGGGTCCCAATGGTACAGCATTGTCAGACCGGGAGCTGACAGATAATGAAGGCCCTCCAGAGTTTGTGCCCATAATTCCTTCCTTGAACAAGAAGAAATGCAAAGAGAATACAGGTCTTCTAAGAAGCTCTGACAAAGACCATTTTAAGTGCAACACTTTTGCAGAGTTGCAGGAGAGGCTGGAGTGTATCGATGGAAGTGAGGAGCCTGTTATGTTTCCTGGCGGAGAGGTCTCCCCTTCATCTTCTAATGGCACAGTCCCATTAAGTGCAGAAAATGGACAGTCTAAACCAAAACTATCCCCTCCTCCTGGGGGAACAAAAACATCAACAGTGCCGGAAACTGGGTCTCCAAAGAAGGGGCACAACCTTTATGTCCAGCGCAATGGTGCTTGCCTTGAGAAGATCCCTCCCTTAAAATCTGACCATGTAAAACCACAAGCCAAGCCAGAAGGCAAGAGAGCAGACTCAGATGAAGAGAAGGAAGTGGCTACTGAATCTAACCAGTTATCAAAATGTAATGGTATTAAGGGTCAAGAGTCCAACCAAGTTGTTGAACCAGTTGTAAAAGAAAAATCTTCATACATGAAGAGACCTTTGCCCAGCCCTGCACCTCCACCCCCACATCAACAGGCGTCTCCATTGAAGAGCAACCCAACTTACCAGAAGTTTGACCACAGCAATGCAATCAGGACTCCCCCTGTAGGCATGAGCAAGCAAGTGGCAAGTGAATTGGAACCTAATACTGAAGGAAACAAGTTTTCAGGAACCAGCAACACAGAGTATCAAGGAGATGGGATTGAGGTGCATAGGTTCCAATCTTCTTTTCGAGGCAAATGCTTTGACCGGGACATACTGACAACGACGGTGACATTGCAGCAGCCTGTGGAGCTTAATGGGGAGGATGAACTTGTCTTTACGGTGGTGGAGGAACTCTCCATTAGTGGCATCTTGGATAATGGAAGGCCTTCCAGTATCATCAGCTTTAACAGTGATTGTTCTCTGCAGGCCCTTGCATCTGGCTCCAGGCCAGTTAGCATCATCAGCAGTATAAATGATGAGTTTGATGCTTACACTTCACAAGTTGCTGCCACTGGTGTCAACATTGACATCGTTGTGCCCTTTGCTGAAGGACCATTCTCCAGCAGCAGCAGACGATCCTCCATCAGCTCATGGCTAAGTGAAGTCAGCATCTGTACAATTGAAAGTGAGGGGAGACAGGTCAGTGATGGGTTCCTGGCACAATCCTCTTATAGCTGTAGCAAGTCTGTGGAACCCTTTAACTTGGGTTCCCCTAATGCCCCTCTTCCATTGAAAGCCACTCTAAATGATAGTGGCTTTTGTTTTTCAGAGCTGGACAGTGGGAGCATAAATTCAAGCAAAGCATCATCAGGGGCCAACAGTAACTCTCAAAACTCTGATTTAACCAAAGCATCTCAGGCTCTTTGTATCACCGAACAATCAGCGAAAATTAGGCCTTCTAACTCTCAAAACACACCAGTGATTGAAACAATACATTCCAGTCTTCCCCGAAGAACAAAGACTACCTCATCTTCAACCCACAACAATAGCACCCTCAACAATTACAAGGAACTGCAGAAGTCACATGTGATGTTTGAAGACCCCTGGTTGCTTCGTACAGAAGCAAATGCTGCAGATCCTTTGTCATCTACAAATATGCACATGTCCAGTACTGAAAAACAGTCGGCGAAGTCCACTCAACAATTTGGTGACTTGGTTAGACCAGCAAAATCCCAAACCATGTTAGCATGCTCACAGCGGGTAGTTGATGGGTGTGAAATGGCCAGCAAATCTTCCAATGGAACAGCTAAAAAATCGGAACCTCTCACAAAAATGCCACAACTCAGAAGAGGAGCCACTACACTTGGTGTGGTTCCTGTGTCCCATAACAACAGTGTAACAGCTGACAGTGCGAGCAGGGGGAGCTCTGAAGCTGGATTTGCTACTAGCAGCCTGAAAAGGAAGGTACAGCAAAAAGCTAGCTTGTTACCAAGGCCCAATGGGATAGTGCCTCCAATGCCTCCTGTACGTAAGTCAAGCCTTGAGCAGAAAAATGGTGGCATAACCAGTGGAGGTGGTAAAGCTGTGGGACTGGACCCTGCTAGGGCCTTTACAGCAAAACATGAGGATGAGGTTGATTTGCGATTGAGAGCTGGGTCATGCACCAGTGAAAATGTTAATAGCAGATGCAACCTCAAAGGAGACCATTCTTTGCCCAAAGCAACCTCAAGTTTAAAGTCAAAGGCATCAAAAAGTGAAGCCATTCACCGCTATGGGAGCCACATGTCTCTTGAAAGATGTGACAGCTTGACATCTGTTGGATCCAAAGTTAATCCAAATAAGGAAAATGGTGGTGGCAGCATTAACAATGGCAGAAATGGTCGATTGGTCCCCAGGCTGGGAGTTCCCCATGTTGCTTCTGGTCTGACATCACCTCCATCATACACCACACCTTTACCCTGCAAAAACAGTCAAGCAAAAAGTGTGGCAAGTCAGAAGGGTGTAGCCAGTGGGAATAAGAACCGCGGCCTTTCAGCCAGTGGATCGAAGTCTCTGAGCTCCTCTGTGAAATCATTAGCACAACCTGCTGGGAAGGCTTCGAATGTTCAGTTGAGTGGGAAAACAGCCCCAAGGTCCATGCAAGGTGTAACTGGCAAGCCTGGTCGGGGGACCATAATGGGAACCAAACAGGCCATTAGGGCAGCCAACACTCGTGTCAATGAACTGGCATCAGGGAGTTCAGCCAAGATGAGTCACTTCCGAGGCTCAACAGACTCTGATAGTGGCAATGACAGTGGAATTAATCTTAGTGATGAGAAGTCACAAGTCCTGATGCTTCCTTCTCCATACAGCAAGATAACTGCCCCAAGGAGGCCTCAGCGCTACAGCAGTGGCCATGGGAGTGATAATAGCAGTGTCCTAAGTGGGGAGCTACCACCAGCAATGGGTAGGACAGCTCTCTTCTACCATAGTGGTGGAAGCAGTGGCTATGAGAGTATGATTCGTGACAGTGAAGCCACTGGCAGTGCATCCTCGGCTCATGATTCCATGAGTGAGAGTGGCATGTCCTCACCTGGTCGCATGAGAAGCTTGAGATCCCCCAAGAAAAGATCAACAGGTAATGCCAATCTCAGTATAACTCAAATATAAGTAAATTAAATGTTTCCAAAGCAGATATGCTTGATCCATTGGGCTTCTAGATAATTCAGAATACACCATCTTTGAGGTCAATAAAATAATAGGTAAAGTGCCATTAGAGTGGTTTGTGAAACAGAAGGTGTATTGAACACCTACAGGGCATTGATCCATAAGTAGCATGTAAATAGAGCATAAGAAGCATTTGATTAACATTTGAGGCAAATGGAAAGTGCTGAGGCTTTTGACTCAAGAATTCTACCTGCAGTTCTCAATTGGGTATTTGTGAGTGATTGATATTTTGGGCTACTTATGTTATGGGAAAGATGTTATTGCTGCTTCATTGTGAGATTGTCTCATTGTTGTATGCCCTCAAGTCAGTGCCAGTTTATTGCAACCCTGAGGTGAAAAACAGTTTGAGTTTTCCCATACCTGAAAATAGAAACTCGGGTCTCTTGCACCCAAACCTTGCATGTCTTTCTCTGCAAAATATTTCTTGTGCAAAAATTGCAGATATTGAACACCATGAGAGAAAAAATCTGCAAAATTCTAACTGGTTGTTGATTCTTCCTGATTTTTAACCTGAGAATGAATAAATTATAAATATTATTTCATCTTCTACAGTGAATTGATGTTAATAGTATGTAAATGAATGAGGATGTAAGGAACACATATACGGATACTAATAGTGATTGAATGGCTGGATAATAGTGTTTGTGTTACAGTGCACGTCAATGGAGGCTACAGGAAGAATAGATTTGGATGCCAATAGATGTGGATAGAGATGTTGCTTGTATGTGACTGATGGATGGATGAATATGGATAAACTGGTTAAGCTCTGGGGCATATATGGGAAAGAGGGGGGAATAAATACAGTAGGATTGCAAAGAGTGCAAATGGTGTATTGACGTAAGGATGATTTTTCACACAAGGGAGTGCAGCCTTCAGGGTGGGAATAAGACATTCCTCATCCTTCCTTTCAAGATTTTGTGTTTATCTAGTTATTTCAAAATATCTTTCTAGTGACTTTTCCCACAAACTTTTGATTGACAGGTCCCAAAGTGAAAATTAAAGGGTTATAAAAGAATTTGATAAAAACAACACACTAAACTTTGTGATTAATCTGCTAATTAACTACAAACCTAAGGCTTTCATTAGTTTTACAGTGCATTTAGACAATCAACTGAAATTAGAAATAGATTGGAGATTCACTGGTGTAATCAGTTCCGAGCCACTTCCTTTCACAGAAGAGTCTACAAAGACTGCATTCTCCAGCTTGGACAGAAATTGATAAGGGGGCTGGTCTTATATGATAGTTTGTTCTCTAACTGGACTTTCCACAATGTTTTCTTTTGTTGGGTGGGGGGAATAGAAATAGACAAACAAAATAATGAGAGTAGTAATAGCAGCCTCCCTCCTATTTCCTTCTTAGTGTTCACAAATTTATTTGTTCTAATCTATTTACACATTGCCAACATAAATATCTTTATTCCTGTAATATATAAATGGCTTTGTACTCAGCTACAGAACATTCTTTATCAATCAATACTTGTTTAACTAGAAAAATAGGATCCAATTTTACAAGTGTACTTTTTCCAGTTATGCACATATATTTGCATAGTTTAAAATGTATACTGTATGTCTAGTTGTATCCTTTTGTGGGCAGAAAGAACTTTTGCCCAGTGGATTTTAATACTTTGGTCATATCATGAGAAGAAATGACTCATTAGAAAAGTCAATAATGCTTGGTATGGTAGTAGGCAAACGGAAAAGAGGAAGATCGTATTCCAGATGGATTGACTCAGTCAAGGAAGCCACAGCCCTGAGTCTGCACGTCCTGGGCAGGACTGCTAAGCATAGGGTGACCTGGAGGTCTCTCATTCATAGGATCACCATACATCAACTTGAAAGCAGTTAACAACAAATACTAAAATGAACTTAGTAGAGATGGGATGCACAAGGAGGTTCATGCACATGGGTTGTATACTCAGTTACACATTTGCAGTTTTGGTCCAGTCGCACAACATTGCCATTCAACACAAGGAATTCATAGCACAATTCACAACTACATGTGGAGATTTTTTTTTTATGTCAGGAGTGACTTAAGAAACTTCAAGTCACCTCTGGTGGGAGAGAATTGGCCATCCTTGCAGATGTTGCCCAGGGGACACCCAGATGTTTTACCATCCTGTGGGAGGCTTCTCTCGTGTCCCCACATGGTGAGCTGGAGCTGACAGATGGGAGCTCACCCCCTTCCCAGATTTGAACTGTCAATCTTTCAGTCAGCAGTTCAGCCAGTGCCACCGGGGGCTTCACATGTGGAGATGTAAACTGTGCAGTATATATGTAAAGTCTTGTCAAAGACATGGTCCTCATCTTCAGGAGAAGGATGACAACACTAACTAGCATGCTTCTCTAATGCCTGGCTTCTGGATTGGTCCTGGGAGGCAAAGTGTTTGGTCAGGCTGTCCAATAGCACAGGCAGTTCTCCTGCCCCCAATCTCCAAGGATTTTAACTGGAAGCCATGCCTTGAAGCCCCTTCTTCTGATAATGACAACTTTGCTTTCCTTCTTATGAGACAACTGTGCCTGGGGCCTATTTCTTTTACTGCTGTTGTACCACCTTTGCCATTACAGATAACCAGTAAGATCCTGGTCCCAGAATCCACTTCCTAAGCATTTCAAATTTCTAGTATCTAGTTTTCATGGTCTTGAAACTGGGGCAGACATAGAACATAACTTGGAAGTGGTACCAAATAATAGATTACATCTTATTTCAAGTAATATTTCAAGAAACTTAATGTGTTAGTGTTAACTCTAGGATGAATGAATTATTTGATATGTTATTAACACTTTATGTCTAATATTTTAATTTTTGTATCTTCCTGAAAAGAGTGGAATCCCCTTATCTGCTGATTTCACTCCATCTTCATATTGAAGAGTTCATCCATCCATCCATCCATTCTCTTTCCTTCCCTTTTTACTTTTTAAACACAAGTGACTCACAATGTGAATGCTTCATAGTGCTCCGGGATGCTTTCCGGAGATAATAATAACATGGTTAGCAAGGCACACAGGTTGTCCATTCTCCTGACTGGAGTAGTTTATTTTAGTTGGGGTAAACCTATAGCTCTGCCCTGTTTACTCTTGTTTTTTCAGCAAGGGTCCTGTAGATCCATGCAGCTGGTTGTATTTGGAGTGGGTGCTGGAGTAGCTTTGCTAGGGCAATTTGTGGAATGAAATTTGGGCACCATTTCATAATATCTCTGGTTTTGCAGTCTCTATACACCTGAACATTGGTAACACAATTTTAGAGCATTCTATTTTAAAATATTCCTAGTTGCATGTGCAAAGTACAGACATACATGCATATGTTAGTATGTGTGTGAGAGAGGCTATAATGGGGTGTGTCCTGGTTCTTGTGTCCAGTCTGCTCCTTGTGCATCCAATCTGTGTAAAGGTGCAGTTTCAGCCTTAAGCAGCTGTTCTCTTTTCATAGCACATCAACCTCTTAAGTCTCTCCTACAAATCAATATTAACAGCTGTGTAAAGTTGCACACATATTGAGAAGGTATTACCGACTGATGGATTTGTATTTGGCTTTTCCCCAGGAAATGCTTTATAAGGTCTTTCTTTTTAAAATGACAAACAGTTCCTTTTCTCGATTGGAGTTGTCCTCTGTCAATAAATTACAGCTTACCTTTGGAGTGCTTTGCCACTCTTGATATATTCAGAAGCTGTTCTAAGCATTGGCTTGGCAGATGCAGTGGGTGGAATGATTTGCAGCAGAAACCGGTGAATATGTGTTCACTTGGACTTACTCCCAAACAAATGAGTATAAGGAGATAAGCCTTAACACTAGGGAGTGTGACTTTGGCATAGATCCAATTGTTACTTCCAGCAAGATATATCCACATAAACAGGAGATGAACATGAATCTTAAATTATCAAGTTCCCATTGTTTCAGTAGGCCAACTCTTGTTGAGAGTTATGCATCCTGTTATTTTCTGTCGAGAGCTCCATTCTTTTTGGTCTAACCTAGTGGTTCCCAACCTGCGGTCCATGGACCACCAGTAGTCCGCCTTATCATTATGACACCATTGCCTCGAAACCACATGGCAACGAGCGTGACTGGTCTCATTAAACCCTCTTACAGTGCTGAGGCAATGGGGATGTTGGGAGGGAAGAGCCTGACTACCCACAAAAGATTACTACTACCACATCAGCTCTAGATTATTAAATATGGTTTTCTGTGGGCAAGCATATGGCAACTACTAGATGGCGTATGTTCTGTATCACAAACTAGAACTGATGTGGTCTATCCAATGCAATTTTCTGAATCAGCACCCCAACCCAAATCTAAAGTTGACCAAAAATTGATTCATAATCCTTTTCGTACTAAAGAGTGGCCCCTGGTCAAAGTGGCCCCTGATCAAGTGGTCCCAGGTCAAAAAAAGGCTGAGAGCCACTGGTCTAACCCATTGGGAGTTGTGTGTGGACGGAACCGTACCTCTCTTCCCCCATCTCTCTCATGAACCTCTCTATGTTCCTCTTCTTCCTCCCCAGCCAGTGAGCTGCTGAATTGGGTTCAGGAAACCCACACAGTTAGAAGTTACCCCAAGTGGATTGTAATCCAACCTCGTGTCATATCATTTTGTGATCAGGATATATGAAATTGCGAAGAGCCAGCACAGTGTAGTAGTTTGAGTCCTGGGGTATGACTGGGGATCAATATTCAAATCCCTGCTGGGCTATGGCAACCTACTGGGTGACCTTGGGCAACTTACATTCTCACAGACTGGATCTACACTGGGAAATAATGCAATTTGAACTGAATTATGGGGTCAATGTAGACTTATATAATGCAGTTCAATGTAGTGAAATTGCACTATTTGGGTCTACACTAACCACATAATGCAGTTTCAGGCTGCATTATATGGTACTGTAGATGGGTCCTCAGTCTCAGAGAAGGAGAATGGCAAATCTCCTTTTGAAAAAAATAATGCCAAGAAAATCCTGTGATCGTTTCACCTTATGGTCACCATAATTGGAAATGACTTGAAGCCACACAACAATGTGAAATTGGACAAAGGACTATCAGTTGTCTATCTCCGCTGCTGTTATTACACCCGATCCTTAATATTTTATCCACTTATATGCTTCCTCCCAAGCCATCCAAAAAAACCCCCTTGAGACTCAGGATGTCTTAAAATGCTTAGGGATGTTATGCAAGGGCTTTCTTTATTTTCTAGAATTAAAAATGTGTTCAGTCTGAGTGGTTTTGCTGAAATCCTAGAGAAAGTTAGGGAAATGCATCTCAGTCTCACTCCATTTGCTCCCATCTTTCCCACTTTGCTATAGCAGGTATGGAAGGTTGCTTCAAACACAGGATTTGCCTTTGTCTGGATTGGGCTTTGCATAGATACAAATGCACACAAAATTGAAACATTTCTCTTTTTGGAAAACCTCAGGTTTCCAGCGGCGACGATTGATCCCGGCTCCTCTTCCTGAGTCCACATCCCTGGGAAGAAAGCAGAATGTCGCTGCTCAGTGGGTTGATCTACCACCTTTGCCGGGCACTTTGAAAGAGCCGTTTGAAATTAAAGTTTATGAGATTGATGATGTGGAACGATTACAGCGACACAGACAAGAGGAAAGTGAGGTCAGCACATATTTCATGGCAGTTCTGGACAATTTCAATGACACACGCATATACACCACACACAAGGCTTACAATCTAGTGAATGGTGTTAGAAGAGAATGGGTTGCAATTCAAAGCACTGTTGTTATGCTTTTCCCCCCATTCATATGTTGGGGTGCCTCGCACATCGAGAATAATTGCTGTCTGCTGTTAATTGTGTTTAACATGGCTGATGGAGTGAGTGGAGAATATCAATTAATACGTTACGAGAAGGCTTTATAATCATTGCCTGCCTGATGAAACTTTATGGGCTTTCCTTCACTACAGGGTCATTAACTCTTTATGTAAATGGCATAAAGTATCCCAGTTAGAATTCTGTTAAATGCAAGAAGTTGTGGGTTTAATTTACTTGTAATTGACAAAACAATCCCATTAATTTTGGGTGGGTGATAAAATGGCAGCCATTCCTTTGGTAACACTTTTTAATAATCATGAAAATCACTTTTCCTTCTCTCTCTCTTTTTCTTTTGAAACAGCCTTTCCAGGATGTTGAAAAGGTAAGTCACACCTCTGGATCTTTTATTAATATATTCCAACAACAACAACAACAACAACAACAATAATAATAATAATAGTAATAATATAACAAATACCATCTGCCTGTGACAAAGAACTGGTGGGATCACAAGCCTGAAAAAGTTACAGAAAATAAACATGTCAAATGACTCTGGGACTTCTGAATTCAGAGTGACAGGGTGTGGAAGCACAATACTCCTGACCTCAAGATTGTGTTAAAAAAAGTATGAATTGTCGATGTTGCAATCCCAGGTGATAGCAGGATTGAAGAGAAATAACTGGAAAAGCTGACACAATATGAGGATTTAAAGATCGAACTGCAAAGACTCTGGCACAAGCCAGTCAAGGTGGTCCCAGTGGTGATCAGCAGACCGGGTGCAGTGTCTAAAGACCTTGGCCTGCACTTAACATAATTGGCACTGACAAAATTATCATTTGTCAGCTGCAAAAGACCACCCTACTAGGACCTGCACACATTATTCACCAATATATCACACAGTCCTAGACACTAGGAAGTGTTTGATGTGTGATGCAATACAACAGCCAGCAGAGTGACCTTGTTTGCAGTGTACGAATCTTATTGTGTTTCAAATAATAATAATAATAATAATAATAATAATAATAATAATAATAATACTTTATTTATATACTTCTCTATCTCCCCAAAGGGACAAAGAAGTGGCAAACATTCATTGCCAAAATACACAACAAAGAAAATAATCAGCTCCCCAGATTACAAACAGAAAATTCAAACTATAACAAAATTATAACAGATAGACCAAATTAAATAACATAACCAATCAATAATTCCATATCTAACATTTAAATTTAACAAAAATTCAACAAAAATTTAAGCAAATTTTGATACTTTAAAATTAATACATAGAAATATATGAGTTTCAATGCTACTACATGTAGTACACAACTCAGTAATATACACCCAGAACACAGATGTGTGGCCTGAATCCAATTGATAGTCCTATCTAGATGCATTGAAACAATTCTTAAATTCTGCATCAAAGTTTATGTAAATCTCATTGATTTTGTGTGTCTGCTGTAGTTGGTAATAACAATAGGATTCAACTCTATTGATGCTTTATGGCAACCTAAAAGTTTTCACAAGATTTTCTTCATAAGATTTCTTCAGAGAGGATTTGCCTTTGCTTTCCTCTGATGACAGGGTATGACTTGCCCAGGTTCACCCAGTGGCTTTCTGTGGTCAAATGAGGATTCGAATCCTGGTCTCCAGAGTTGTAGTCAGACATTCAAACTATTACAAGTTTCAAATCAACACCAGTTAAACTGATGACTAGAGTGTCCTGTTGTATTCACTTTTGTTATGCAAAGTGGAGAGGGGGAGTGTTTCAGTAGAGAGACCAGAACCACCCATTTTTGGACTACAACTTCCAGAATTCCCTAGCAACATGACCAGTAACTTGTCCAAACTCTGGGAAATGATAGGAAAAAAATGATTAATGAAAAATGAAAAAAAAAATTGCTAGGGGTGAGGGTTAATTGTCCAGTTGTGTTTTGGAGCTGTTTTATCTCTGGAAATTTTCGATCTTCTAAAATAATACAGCTTTTGAAGTTTTGATTTCCATTAAAGTGAGATGTGTCATGCCCCAAAAGCTTTCATAGGAAAGAAGGCTTAATGTGATGTCCTTTGGATGTTCTGGATCGCAGCTGACAACATGTGTAGCTGTTGGCCATGCTGTTGGAAGTTGTGGCCCAAAACTATTTGGAGGGCAAGTTTGTGGGAAGATTATGGGGTGATTCATAAAAAAAATAAAGAATGAAAATAATGCATACTATTGGAATTTAATTTTTCTAGCAAGGGATTCACACTGATGTGTGTATAACCCTTCTCCTGTGCAGCCTCACCTTCAAGATTTAGAAATAGTGGTTGCAGTTGTTTCTTTTGCCAATAGCTACCGCATCCCACCTCCACATTTTAAAGGCAAGCGCAGATAGATTTTACTGTTTTAGTTTTGCTAACTAAATTATATTTATTTTTTTACAGTGGAGGGAGAAACAGTTTCTTTACATCTGGTTGTAATTTAAGAGTATCATTGAGAAGTACATTAGCACAGGGAATAGCAATAAATGCCTTAAGTGCTCAGCACATGTTGTTTTTATTAGGTTAGTATCTATGCCAGTCCATTTCCTGCAAGTGTAGCAGGGCTGAGCGAAGATCCTTCCCTGGTTTAATGTTGCATACTTGTGGTAGCTGATGCTGAATGATGAGGGCAGTGGGTTTGTAAAGATGAGGGAAACACAAGCAGATGGCGGGTGAATCACAGACTGTTCATTTTTTTTTGTCTCCCCAAAAGGGCCTGATATATTTTAATACAAAACTGAAAATCCTGGAAAGGCGTCACCAGAGGATTAAAGAAGTGAAAGCAAAGCATGAGCTCTTGAAAGATGAGTTGGAAGAAACAAAGTGTAGGTTGATGTTGGATCCAAGCAAGTGGAAAGGAGAGTGTAAGTATGCCTTAGTCATAAGTGCAATGATTCCTGATTTGGAGAAAATTAGTCACAGAAGGGATACTGACTTCAAGTAGCTACTGGCATTTAAGTGAAAAAAAGTTTGATCCTCTGTTCTCAAAATACTGCAGAAATAGAAATGGCCTGAATATGTGTTACCCTTTTCATAATTCAGCCATAAAATAGAGATACCTTTATTATAAGTCATCAAAAATGCACAGAAATACATTTCAGCTTGAGTATCCCTCATCCAGTACTCCAAAATCCTCCAACATCATCAACATTAGTGGTTCTCAACCTTCCTAATGCTGCGACCCCTTAATACAGTTCATCATGTTGTGGTGACCCCCAACCGTAAAAATATTTCTGTTGCTACATTATAAATGTAATTTTGCTAATGTTATGAATTATAATGTAAATATCTGATATGCAAGATGTATTTTCATTCACTGGACCAAATTTGGCACAAATACACGATACACCCAGATATGAATTTGGGGTTGGGGGGGGGGGGGTTGGGTTGATTTTGTCATTTGAAATTTGTAGTTGCAGGGATTTATAATTAACCCACAATCAAAGAGTATTCTGAACTCCACCCATGATAGAATTGAACCAAACTTGGCACACAGAACTCCCATGACCAACAGAAAATACTGGAAGGATTTGATGGGAATTGATCGTGAGTTTTGGAGTTGTAGTTCACCTACATCCAGAGTGCACTGTGGGTTCAATGATAGATCTGGACCAAACTTGGTAGGAGCATTCAATATACCCAAATGTAAACACTGGCGGAGTTTGGGGAAAATAGACATGGACATTTGGGAGTTGTAGTTGCTGGGATTTATGGTTCCCCTAAATCCCAGCAACTACAACCCTGAACCCCACCAACTATAGAATAGGGCCAAAGTTCCCACACAGGACCCCCATGCCTTGAAGAAACTCGCTGGTGCTAGCCTCTCTCCAGCTTCACACGCTCTCCCTCACCTGCATGTGTGCAACATGCTGCCATGTGCCAAGCACGCCTGCTCTCACCTCATTGCTTGGAGTCTCAGAAAAAGCTCTCCCCTTTGCTGAGAGGTTCGCCAATCACAGCAGAGGAGGGATTTTGGGAGGTGCATCTGAAACCTGAATGAATTTTATGTTTAGTCATGGGTCCCATCTCCAAGCTAGCTCATTATGTCTATGCAAGTATTCAAAAATTCCAAAAAATTGAAAAGATGGAGCACTTTTAGTACAAGGATTTCAGTTAAGGGATACTTTTGGTTGCCAAAAAGGGTATTGTTTTTTTGTGGAATTTGGATTTTGTTGTATTTTGCTGCATTGCCAATACAACTACACTTGTATATAATTTAATCATGCATTTTGCCAGCCCTATTTTGTTATGGTGTAACACAAGGATGTAGTTTTATGGGTGGAAAAATGCATCCATGAGATTTCCCTCCATCCCCCAAATTTCTAACATTGTAGTACCTTAAAACCTTCATTTAGAAATAAAGTTTAAGTATCCAAAGGAGAAATGTGAACACAAATTCTGCGACGTGTAGATTTGAAGTTTTCAGCATCTTACTAGCTGCAAAGTTAGACATTTGGGGAGTAAAGGGTTGTTTCAATTGCTAGGTCCAAAATGTTCACTTGGAGGAGCCGTGCCCTCATCCTCCCTCCACCCCCAGCTACATCCCTAGTTCCACATGTTCAAAGAGTAGCTACAGACATTTATAGAAACACATAGCCTGTGCTAAATATATGTTAACAGATCTTAAGTATGTTGGTTCCTTTGATGCTGCTAATGGTCTGCTTTGGACTCTGGTGCCACTCCTAAGTGCTCCTCTTTGATCTTTTCTCTGCATTTTGAAGGACTGTATATAGTAATGTAGAAGTCTTAAAAATTAGTCAGATAATCAACACAAAAAACTGGGTGGACACCCATGGTACTGGTAAATGCAGTAGCTACTGCAGTAAGCTGCTGGTAAATGCAGTTGCTTAACCTTTATCAAACAAGGAGCCATCTCCTTCTCTGAGTAGAGTGATGAAAGGAGAGTTTAGCCCATCGCGGGAGAACCTAAAAGAATCTCCTACGCCATCTTCTTTCTCTTCTGGTATTTTTGAATGCCTGGCTGGAGAAATGGCAGTAGCAGCTCTTTGGTATTTTCCCTCAAAGGAGCACCAAGAGAGTACAGAGGGGTTGTGCTTCTTTTAGATTCTCTTGGATGCATCCTTTCCCACTTTACAGAGGGTGTGGTTCCTTTTTTGAAAAGAGTTAATACTGTACCTTAACATTTATCGAGAAAGGAACTCCTCTCTGAATAGAGAAATGAAAGTGATGGCAGCCAAGAGCAGCCGACTCCCTGAGCCAGCTTTGGTGTTTCCCCTTCTCTGTGGAATGACCCTCAATTTATCCATAGGTCATATCAAAATGTCTAATTTGGGCCCTAAAACCTGCTCTTGACTTATACAGGAGGTCAACATGAGTTCCAGTTTCTGTAGTAGTTCTAGTCTCTGCAGTATTTTGGATCTTCTGTGAAATAATTGAGATTTTGTTTATTATGAGTTGTCTGTGGATCACCACGTTGAAATTTGGTTTTATAACATGGATCACAATTAAATGCTTGGTATTCTGTTTTGAGGATGGAATTGCCTTCTGTGATGGAGATGGGATTTCCTACATTGAATCCTCATCCCAAATCTTCTAGGCAAGTGGTTCTCAACCTCTGGGTACCCATGAGATTTCTGGGTCTACAATTCCCAGAAATCCCAGTCAGTTTACCATCTGTTAGGATTTCTGGGAGGCCAAAACATCTGGGGACATACAGATTGAGAACCACTGTTATAGGCATTCTTACCCCTTGTGTGATCAAGCTTGAGTTTCTTTGCCCTGTTTCATCTTTATGATATTTATAGGAATGAATGGCACACAGATGTGTCCCAGAGGTGCCATGTTCAAGTTGCCTATCAATTTATGGCAACCCTATGGATTTCATAGGGTGTTCTTAGGCAAGGCATACTCAAGAAGTGGTTTTGTCAGTTCCTTCCTCTGAAAAATAGTCTACAGCATCTAGTATTCCTTGGTAGCCTCACATTCAGGGTTGGCCCTGCTTAGCTTCCAAGATCAAACAGGAGTTTGTGCCTTTAGGGTATTTATAGCCACCCTATATTTAGTGTAACATGAAGTTCTATCTTCATTGTTTTCCATTTGAGCAGCTACAGCAGTAGAAGTAAGTTGTACCACTTCAGTATTTATAGCATTTTTGATCTAGCAAATCTTCTGGTCAAGCAGACACTTTACTGGAGGGGGAAATGTATAGAAATTGTAGTACAACCTTGCTGTTCTTATGATAGACACCAAAAGCTCTTGTAAATCTAAAATAAAGCCAGGATTGATCTTGATCTGAACCCCTTTTGCCTCAGCTAGTTTTTAATAATAATAATATCATATTGGATTAGAGAGATGTTTTTCAATATGTTTGAAAAAAGCTTACATGCAGCTTTCAAACTTCTCTCTTATAATTTGCTCCATGTGTGAATATTATTAAGGCAGGATATAATAAAATGTGTGTGGGAGGCAGTGCAGGGCAGAACCACATTCTAAATATTACACATGGATATTTCCATAAACAACTTACGTGGGCTGAACTCTCCTTTTGGTTCAACTGTTCTCCTTTCCAATATTGATTCTTACTCTTTGTCAGCCTTTCCGAAGCTGAGACCCTCCAGCTATATTGTACTATAGCTCCCGGTCTTTTCATCCAGCTTGGTCATGGCTTGGTATGATGGGCATCTCATTTTAAGAAGAATATAGATAAGTTGGTATGAGTTCAGAGAAGGACAAAAAGGATGATAAAACATATGAGAAAAGGTGGAGGAAGCTGGGCATTTTCAGCCTGATGTAAAGAAGACTGAAGGATGACATGACTGCCTTGTTTAAATGCCAACAGGCTGTCACAGAGAGGAGAAGGCAGGTTGCTTTTGTTGCCCCAAATGGTAGGGCCAAGTGTAGGGGTTTAAAGTTAAAGTTACAGGGGGTAAATTTCATTTGAATGTGAAAAGCAACTTATTGATGGTAAAAGTGGTCTGACAATGGGAGCAATTTCCTAGAGAATGAGTGGGGATCTCCTCTTCTAGATATATTGAAAAAGAAGATGGGTGGTTCCTACTGGCACTGAGTTGAGATTTGGACTCAGGGGCCTGGGGGGGGGCTCCTTCCACCTCTATGATGGGATGGGACATATAGCCCAATATATCTTGTGGACACTAGCTTGAGGATGTCTGTAATGGCAGATTCCACATTTACATTTTGGAAACAGATGTTGATCTAAAGTGCAGGTGTGGAAGTCTTCAACTTGGCCATCTTGCAAGATAGGACAGGTGACCCAACATGTTATGGGAGAGAAGGGGCGTGAGTTTGTATCCATTTACTACACATAGGATGGAATTCTACTTAAGAATATAATAAAAGCTCTGTCACACTAAAGGCCCACCCAGTATAGTAACCTGTTTCCTACAGTGGCAAACCATATGCCTGTGAAACTCCCCAAATAGTACAGGAGGACATGAAGCAGTTCTTCTTTAGCTATGATATTGAGAGGCATGCTGTTCTAATCCCAAAGGTAGCACATAGCCATCATAAACTATTACTCATTGGTTGCTTTACCTTCCTTGAGGTTTTTTAAAATGCCATTTAATCTAATTATTTTATTCTTCTCCCTTGCTTGAGTGGTGAGGCGCTGGCTGTAGCAATAAATTTAATAATAATAATAATAATAATAATAATAATAATAATAATAACAATAATAATTTTATTTATAACCTGCCACCATCTCTGCAAAGGGGACTCAGGGCGGCTAACATGAGGCCAAGCCCCAAAATAATATAGCATAATTAGACACAAAGCAACAGAGAAATACAACACAACAAAATATATAAAATAACAAAATAAAATAAACTGCAAAATAACATAATAAAAATCAAACACAAAAGGTGGGCCAAATGCATGAGATAAAATGTTAAAACCTTGAGTGAGATAGGAATGGAAAAAGTGTATTTGCGAAGGAGGAACCCAAGAAGGAGGAGCAGTGGGATTTGGCCTTTATTAAGGACAGGGGAAGGTGCATCATGAGGACAACTATAGATGGAGACAAACAAATGAGTTGAATGGTCACTCTCTGAGGGCACATCAGAAGAGCCAAGTCTTTAGATCTTTCTTAAGATCTAATAGTCTCTTGGTTAGAAGCTGTGTAATAATAACAGTTGTCAGAATAATGGCAACAAAATACCAACAAAAAATCCAACTACATAACTCATATATTGTATGGCTGCTTTTCTGAGAAACAAAATGTTTTATTGCCACTTGCACATGAGTTTGTCCTGAGCCAAAGATGATGCAACTAATGCCTATCTGAGACTCCTGATGCAATTGCCAGACATATCTTACTGAAAGCCAGTATGAGTCATTGAGGACCCTCCCTACTTTAGGCAGAGGTGCTGCTTCAGGCAACAAATTCGAGGTGTTGTGAAAGATCAGGGAATGACGGAACAGGGCTAACAAATTTTATCCTGAAAGGTTGACATTGAGATCCTCAACAAACTCCTGTTTGTCTTTTGATACCCACAGTTGAGGTTGACCCTGATCTTGATAAGGAGTCGCAAGATTATCTGGAGGCACTGGAACAAGTGACTGACGAACTGGAGCAGTGTGTGAATCTGTGCAAGTCACATGTCATGATTGTTACCTGCTTCGATATTGGAGTAATCTGTGATGCCCAGGATGTAGTACGTGAAGTGGAAGTGTGAAGGTTTGCAAAAGGACTCAAGGAGGTGGAGCCCAGCTGTCAAAAGATGAGGGGAAGAAATATGTGTGTTGGAAAGCAGAGGTGGAAACATGAAGATTTAACGTGATGAAGAATGTTGACAAAGCCTGAAGCTGTCGAGGAATCAGAATGTTCTAAACCTTTGTGGTGCCTCAGCAACCTATGAATTGTACAAAGTTCAACCTGAGATTTCTAATGGATGGAAGCAGAAGAACAAAACAAACCCTATCAAGAACCAACTCTGTCTGAAAAGCAGAAGTGCCTTTACCACTTATTTGTGACTCGTTTCCTTGATTTTGTATTTGTTGCTAGAATTGAAACCAGCAAACTTAAACAGACCATAAAATGTATTCCTTTGAAAGATTTTATACTGTATAGTGTAATTTATGACTATATGTAAAAAAAATACAAAAATGGAAATTGTAGCAAAAGCAATAAGTAAATTATGTTTTCATACCTGAATTTGCCTCCTTGTTTAACGGAAAAGCTGGTTTTATGTAGCAGAACAGGAAAAAATAAATAAATTGTATTATAATTGCTTTTTCATGGTTTAGGATTTGAGATATTTTTATGAACATTTATCTATTGGAAAGGTGTATTATGAAATTTCAGAATGCTTGGTTTGTATTAATTTTTTATATGCTTCCTTTTTCAGACCATGTTTTTCCATGTTTTCTACAAAATATTAGGGCTGTAATGTTTGATTAATTAATCAGTAAGGTTAATTGATTGAAACAACTGTACAACTGCTTTAAAAGGTGCCTCTTGATTTACTGAATAGCAGATTTTTCAAATGTTGTTTACACTTATTTTTAATACAAGTATTTAACAGAACTGGAGGGTGGCAGGCATTGTCACCAAAGAAGCATTCCAGGTTATGTCTTTCTTGCATTTACAGGAATGCCTTTTTCAAGATGGCGCTGACTGCAATGTATGCATTCATTATTTTAAAAATGAAAATAGTATGCTTTTTTCCTTGAGGGCTAATGTTTTTGTTTGTTTACAAATCTATGCTTTTAAAAAACCATTTAATTACTTGATTAATCAGATAAAACTTCTACCCTAAACTGATCAAGATTTCTTTAATCAGGCGAGAGTCCTACTAAATTAGTCCCACACCTATTTCTGTGGGCCATATTCCTGAAACTCCTTATTCTGATTTGGAGTGGATAACTTGGGGGTATAAAATGGCAGTGCTGTCTTCATAAATGGAGGCTGTGGCTTCTTATTGCCACAATATAAGTTGCCACACTTCCAAAATCTCACAGTATAGCAGTGCTGGGCAAACAAGCCACAATTTAGCTTCAAAACAAGGTGCAGGTAAAAATGCTCATATTGTTTTGAAGCCAAATCTTGTTTCCAGGATCACTTTGAAGTCTGAATAAGAGATGTACACTGTCTGCCACCTTCTTTTGAAATATAATAGCATTTTTTTCCTTCAGTGCCAAAATTCAGAAGCACAAGTTTGAGGGCATTGGGGACCATTTTTTTTTAAAAAAAAACCCCACAGTAGGACTCCATGCAACCCATGGGCCATCTGTCATCTACCCATGCTCTAGGTCAGTGATTCCCAACCTTTGGTCATCCAGATGTTTTGGACTTTGGCTCCCACAAATCCTAACAACTGGTAAGCTGGCTAGGATTTCTGAGAGTTGAAGTCCAAAACAACTGAAGAACCAAAGATTGGGAACCACTGCTATAGGTAAATGGAACTCCACTTCAACTAGTATGAAAGCTAAAGGAGATTAACCAAGAGTGGGAAGTGAGAACACTGGTTGCAGGAAATGACCTATACATTGAGAGGGAACTCTTTGTCCCATAGATTTCAAGTGAGAACATTGGTTGCAAGAAGCAACCTATACATCAGAGGTGGGGGGTGGACTCTATAGCCCATAGATTTAATGTGGCCTTGGGAGGGTCCAACCAGGCCTCTCCAAACTCTAACATTTGTGTTTTTGTTTTGCCTGAATAGATTCCAGGAGCCCTGATTTAATCCTTATTTATAAATGGGGCATCACCTCATCCCAAAACAAACAATAAACAAAAGTGATTCCTGGTCCGCAGTAGATACATTCCTGTGGCCTACTGGGGAGGAGCAAAAATGGTTCTCCAACCCTCAGCCATAGTTTACGTTACAATGCATGAAGATGCCTGAATGAAACTGCTTTGAGAGGGATATCCAGAACAGAAGCACTGACAGAGAAAATGTTGGAGCATTTCCTACATTTTTTCATGACAATTATTTCTTCAGTTGCTCCCTTCCGGAGGTGTTCAGATGTATGTTTGATATAGTCAACACATCTGGAAGTCTGTAGCAGAATACATTAGAAGAGGAATTAAGGGATAGAAACAGTGGCAGTTGGGTACAGATCATGAAGAACCCCCGGGGCTTCCTATGCTGAAAATTGCTTCAAGTAGCCTTGTCTCGAAGAAACAAGTGTCAGGGCTTTTATATACATCTTTTGATAACTGACAAATGACCTCATTTTTCACAGATAACCTTTTCTAGAATTTCTTAACCCAGGAGCATTAAGTATCCCTCCACCTTAACACAAACTGTCCAGCTTCCTGTTAGTGCCATATCTAATTCTACCTTCTGCATGTACTTTTTTGACTACTGATGTCGCGACTGAAGAGTCTAATATGCCCCTTTCTCCTTCTGCAACAAGCAAAACCCCACCAGATTCACCAAGCCACTCCAATATTCCTCACTCTCCGGTTATTCTGTTGTTCATGAGGAATTGAAATGGTCAGAGAAGCATCTGGCTGTGTTAACCTATTTAAATGCAAAGCAACAACATCAACTTCTGAGACCTTCAGAGAACCATAGCAGACCTTGGCAGAATATGTCCTTAGTTTGCACAACTCTTCAATAGTTATATAATGGCTTTGAGGAAGGGAAGATTGACGTGATATGGTGAATCCAGAGAGTCTTTCAATTAAAACTGACCCTCAGATGATGGCCACACTATAACAAGGTCCCAGTTGCCTGGGGGCAAAAACCTTGAGCTAAGCACCATCCACAGGACTTCACGTTGCTGGCCCCTGCCTTAAACCCGAAGAAGTCTGTAAACAACACTGTGTTTTTTCTTTCTCTTCTGAGTGCAAGAACTAAGAATAAGGGGTTGGATCCAGACTTTTAAAGTAACGAGTGGAAAACATGGACAGCTTTAGATGCCAATTTTTCTGCCTCTGGGAATTTCTGTAGGCTATATGGACTATCTAAAATAAAATTAGCAATCCAATCCTGAGTTTGAAAAACTAGTATTTTTATGTGAAACAGTGCAGAGATGTGCTGTGACTTATGGAAAAGGCAAGCTGCTGTTCTTGGAGGCTTCCAGGAGAGAAAATTATTATTTTTTTTGCCATAAAGGTAGCCTGGAGATCATAAAACAGCACTGGATGGCTGGGTGTGTATCTGGGTTCACACTTTATCCACCCCTGATTTCAAGTCACACTTAGGAGTGTACATGCCTTAAAGTCCCCTGTTGATTTATGATGTGCTTGTGAAATCCATGGACCCACTCAAATAAATTGGATTTAACTTGGCTATGATGAACAGAGTCTGGATCCAACTGAACATTCATTACCAAAATTACAAGGAAGTGGGAGAAAAAATGTGCCCTTTTCAAGTTCTTTTTGCTAAATATTAAGTTAAGTCCATATTTTTGTATCATTTTGACAAGAAATATAACATTTACATTTTTATGAACTTTGAAAGACAAATCTATCTTTTTACAGTTTTTCTAAGGAAGGCAAACTCTCAGGATTGTTTCTAAACATGCTGCATGACTCTTGTGCTTTTTTGCCCTTTCCCTTCTTTTTTAAAGGAAACCACTTTTCAGGTGGAGACTATTGATACATTGTTGCCAAACAAAACGACTTTTGAAAATGTTTGATAGTGTGTGTAATCGCATTTCATAAGGAACCATATTTTCTGATCATCTTGCTTTGTATGGGGATGTGTCCCCACCCTGAAAAATCCTTTGTATAAAATGTATACTATAATGGCTTGCTTCAGCTTTTCCATGTGAATAAAAAGATACATCTATTGTTAACTCTGTCTCCTGATTTCAGTGCTTGGTTCCTCTTGTGTTTTGTGCTAGCAATGGAGAAAGGGACATTTACACTTGCCTCCCTCAAAAAACGTAGCATACAATGGAGATAGATTAAAACCTCTCTGTGTTGACTTTTACTTCATATTGGGCTGCGAGATCTGTGATGGAATCTTGGTGGTGTGTTCCCACATCTAGTTCTCCTACAAAAACACAGTGTTGTCTGAAACAGCAGGTAATTCAAGGTTGTGGAAGAGGGTTCCATATGCAGGTCTGTTGTGTATGCATTCAATGAATTGTATATTCAGCTGTGCATTTTGCAGTTAGGATTGGCAAAGTGAAAACCCAAAGTGTGGAAGAGGGTATTTCAGCTGATTACCTAATTGTGGGACTACTAAAAGCCCATTGAAATTATCTCATTTCCCATATAAGATGAACATCCCTAACCCAAAATGCTGTAAAATCCAAAACCTTTTCAACTGTTTTCTTGCTTCTATCATTGGGCTGTTGACTGTGATGTTCCTACTCATGGCTTTGCAAGTGGAAGCAGGTGACCAACCGGTTCCCCACAGATCTCCTGTATTTATTTTTCAGATATCAGGTTCCTTCCAGCCTCTGTTTCTTTAAACTCCTCCGAGGCTGGAGAGACACGAGGATCTGTGAAATGGTGGGAAATGGATGAGCATTACATTTGTATTCCTGCCATTCACAGATATTCCAAAATCCGAAAAAACCAACATAGAAAAATTTCTGGTCCCAAGGATATTCAAAAAGGATGTGGCTCATACTGACACTGATGGTTTTATACATTTATGTCCTTCCTTTCTCCTAACAATGGGGCTCAATGTGGCTAACAACATTTTTAAAACAATACAAATTATAAATAATATAAATGCATTAATGAAGGTAGAATTATAGAATTGGAAGAGACCACATTGGTCAATAATAATGAAAATGATAACGATAATAATAATAGACAAATTTGGAACACAATAAGCCAGACATCATGATTGTGGAAAAGAAAAAAGTTTGGATTATTGACGTCACCATACCAGATGACAGTCGCATTGAAGAAAAACAACAGGAAAAACTCAGGCATTATCAGGACCTCAAAATTGAACTGCAAAGACTCTAGCATAAACCAGTACAGGTGGTCCCAGTGGTCATCGACACACTGGGTGCCGTGCCAAAAGATCTCACTCGGCATTTGGAAAAATAAACATTGGCAAAATCACAATCTGTCAACTGCAAAAGGCCACCTTACTTGAATCTGCGCACATCATTCGAAAATACATCATACAGTCCTAGACGCTTGGGAAGTGTTCGACTTGTGATTGTGATATGAAATCCAGCATATAGATCTTGTTTGCTATGACATACTGTGGTTTTGTATCAGTATAATAATAATAATAATAACTTCATTTGTATTCTGCCCTATCTTCCTGAGTGGACTCAGGGTGGATTCCAACATAACAATGGCAAGCATTCAATGCCTTCGTAAAACAAACAAATAGGTAAGGTAAAGGTTTCCCCCTGACATTAAGTCCAGTCGTGTCCAACTCTGGGGGTTGGTGCTCATCTCCATTTTTAAGCCAAAGAGACGGCATTGTCTGTAGACACCTCCAAGGTAATGTGGCCAGCATGACTGCATGGAGCGCCGTTACCTTCCTGCCAGAGTGGTACCTATTGATCAACTCACATTTGCATGTTTTGAACTGCTAGGTTGGCAGAAGCTGGGGCTAACAGCGGGAGCTCATCCTGCTCCCTGGATTTGAACCTGTGACCTTTCGCCTAGCAAGTTTAGCAGCTCAGTGGTTTAACCCACTGTGCCACTGGGGGCTCCATATGGACATAAAATCCCAGAGAATCCCTGCATATGAAAATAACATTAAAACCTAATCGTCCAGTCCATGCAGGAGAAGTACAATAAAAGTACCCCCAACAGATGACCATCCAGTTTCTGTTTAAAAGCTTCCAAAAAGGTAAAGCTTAAAAGCACCCAAAGAAGTATAAAATATATGATCTAAGAAACAAAACAATTTATGAAGTTAAAACATCAACATTGCAGATATTTAAATGTGTTAAATTCATATACAAACTTTAAAAACTGAATCACATACCATTCAAAGCCTAAGACTAGTTGTCTACAAAAGGTGATAGTACAAACATTGATGTCGCCTGCTACAGGAAGGAGAGAAGGAAGGGAGGTCCAAAGTCTGGGAGCAGCCACTAAAATCCTCTCCCTTGTTCCCATTAAGTGGGTCTGAAAGAATGATGTGACAGAGAGAAGAACCTCTCTAGGTGATCTTAGAGCTCTAATGGGTTCACAAAGGAAAATATTCTTCAAATAATTTATTTTGTCTTGATGCCAACATTTCTTCTCTTCTCTTCCACTCCAAATATGCAGGGTTATGGAATGCAGTGATGTAGAATTAAGTCATAGGGGATGCCAGGACAAAGAGCTCGATGTAAGGCTTACTGGTCCCAGTGGAGGTTCAAAATGGGTCACAGTACTGTGAAGCTTGTTCACCCCTGGATTACCTCATTCTACTGACTGATTCAGTATGAGGTTGATATAGATAAATACATTTATATGAATCATCAAAGATCCCAGCGATTCTTTGTCATTATGAGAAATCTTACTAAGGTCACTTGCAGAAAAATCCTAAAATGGTACTGATTGGTGATGGAATTGTATGGTGGAAAGCTGCCACTATAAATTTTGTTGTTACCTTTCTTTTATTAGTTTTTTTTGTCTTTGATCATAACATGCCAATAAGGGGAATGGCCTTTGTCTGCACTGAAATCCCTTAATACCATTTTAACATCTCTGACAGGATGAAGGTCTGGGATTTTAACGTTAATACAATTTCTCTCCTGATTGATTTTTAACATCATTGCCTGATGAAGAAGTCAGTTGAGTTTTGAAAGCTTAGGTGGTGAATTCTGTGCTTTGGAGTTAGCTCAAATAAGGTATCACAGCTTGTGGTTGGTTGTATATTTCTAAACTCTGATGTTGAGTGCCAGCAAGTTTGGCTTTCAAAACTCTCTTCCATGGACAGTAACATGAAATAAAAATCTGCTCCAGAGCTGATATTATGGTGGGAATAGGGCTATGTCCAACTTTTGGAATGAGCAGGCTTTGGAGTTGTTGAACATAAGGCCAATGAACATTTCAGAGACTTCAGCAATAGTGGGCAACTATCTACCATAGCATCAGCGAGCCTTTCAGCAGAGGACCCACAAAGAGAGAGGTCTGCAACATCTAAAAGCTCTTCTGGAGTTCATAGCTGTCACCTTCTATCAGGAACCCATTTTTTTCCAGCTCAACTTTGTTAGTGGTCTTAGGTTAGTGGTATCAAGATGACGGCCCTCAGATATTGGTGGATATCAAGAAGTTACAAGCATCATAGTTGTCAAAGATTTATTTATTTATTTACCTTATTTATAGCCACCTTTCTCTAGTCCGGAGGGGGACTCAAGGAGTCTTACAAATGGCACTTAGAAAGTGCTTGGAAACATACAAAATTCATCTAAAAATGGTTTGGGTTAAAATTATAAAATAATAAGCATGATTAAAATACATTCAAAGTTAAAACACACCATCCAGAGTTTGAGGTGTAAGGCTATTTCATGATCAATTGCACATAATTCCACATTAAGATTACTGTACTGCTCTATTGTTTTGATAGCCTGCTCCCAGAGCCAGGTTTTGATTTAGAAAACAAAGTTCATCAGCATCTGGGGAACCAGGTTTAAGGAGCACTGTCTCAGATGATCTACACTTCTGTAAGCCTTAGTCTTCTAATCATAAAGCTGGTACCTCCTGGGTTCCTTGGTATCTGCGAGTTTCATTCCAGGAACCTCACCCCACTCCAAGGATATCCAAATCTGTAGATATTCAATCCTTTTTATATACAATGATGTAGTAAAATGTCCTCCCTCATATAAAATGGAAAAATCAAGATTTGCTTTTTGAATTTTTAAAAATAATTTCAAGCCATGAATATTTGAATCCATGAATTTGAATCCATGAATACAATACGGAGGGGAGGTTGAGTATCCTTTATCCAAAATGCTTGGGATTAGAACGCTTTTGGATTTCAGATTATTTTTCAAATTTTTGAATACTCTATTTGCATATATGCACACAATGAAGTGTCTTGGAGATGTGACCCAAGTCTAAATACAAAATTGGAGATGGGAGCTATTTCTAAACATTAAATTCATTTCTGTTTCATGTACACCTTATATAGATAGCCAGACCCTTGTGGGAAGCTTCTCTCGTGTTCCTGCATGGGGAGCCGGAGCTGACAGAGGGAGCTCATCTGCGCTCTCCTTGGGTTCAAACCTGTGACCTGTGGGTCTTCAATCCTGCTGGCACAAGGGTTTAACCCATTGCACCACTGGGGGCTTCTTAGCCAGGGATTATTTTATACAATATTTTAAAATATCTTTTTGCAAGAAACAAGATTAAACGGTAAAAAAATAAAAAAGCAACGGTGTCATGACCTCAACTACTCATGTGAACAATTTCAGATTATGGAAGATTTCAGATTCTGGAATTTGGGAGAAAGGATGCTCAACGTATATTTGATTTCAATTGTGCTCTTCTTTCCCTGCTCCCAAAATGAGAATCAAGACAGTACACAGAAAAATGAAGAAAACAAAACAAAACTCCCCAATCAATTTCAATACAAAGTAATTTCAAGTGCTAATGCACAGATTAAAAACACAAGTAAAAAAGCAATACAAAAACATGCCCTTACCCCTCCTAGGCTACTGATATGATCCTGAATTTGCTGGTAGAAAAAAAGCAAGGATATTCCAGAGTTGATGAGTGTTGAACAAGAAGACCTTAATATGGGAATAATATTGTCTTACTTTACAGAGTGATTGCTAATACAATAATTTAGCTATTAGTAATATTATAATGCATTAATAATGTAATTCTGTATTAATAATAGTTTAACACTGTTAAGTGAAAAGGCCATTGAACATAA